ACACGATTCATAAAAGAAAAATATGATAAGTTGGACTTCATCAATATTCAAAACGTTAGCACTTCCAAAGATATCATTAAAATATGAGAAAACAAACCACAGCCTGGGAGAAAATATTTGCAAATCACATAACTAATTATAAAGACTTGTATCTAAAATATAACAAAAATTATTATAACTCAATAAAACAAATAACCCCATTAAAAATGGGCAAAAGATTTTTCACCAAAGCAGACATATGTATAGCTAAAAAGCACATGAAAAGATGATTAACATCCCTAATTAGCCATTAGGGAAATGCAAATTAAAATCACGGGACACCACCACACTTTTATTAGAATAGTGATAATCTAAAAGTCTAATAATGTCAAGTGTTGGAAAGGATGTAGAGAAATTAGAACCCTCATACAGTGCTACCATGTTTCCCCGAAAATAAGGCCTACACGGAAAATAAGCCCTAGCATAATTTTTCAGGATGCTCGTAATATAAGCTCTATCCCAAACATAAAGCCCCAGTTAAGATTGTCAGCCAGACATGACTGTTCGAATAAATGCAGATTTTTGTATATGAATGAATGAATACATGTAGATTGTTGGAGCAAAAATTAATATAAGACCCGGTTTTATTTTCCGGGAAACATGGTAGTCGGAATGTAAAAAAATGGTGCAGTCATTTTAGGAAACAAATAGTCAGTTCCTTAAAATGTTCAATGTAGAGTTGCGAGACCCAACAATTCCACCTAGTGATATATGTAAATATTCAAAGAAGCATTATCCATAATAGCAAAAATCTGGAACTAAATGAAATGTTCATGACTTAGTGAATGGATAAAGAAAATCTGTACCTATATAATGCAGTACTATTCAGCAATAAAAAAGAACAAACTACTGATACATGCTACAACATGGATAGACAATCTGCTATGTGAAAGAAGCCAGACACAAAAAACTACACGTTGTATGGTTCTATTTCTATGACATTTCTAGAAAAGGCAAATCTATAGAGATGGAAAACAAATCACTGCTTGCCGAGGACTGGAGATTAGAGTGTGACTGACTGCATGGTGATGCAAATATTCTAAAAGTGGATTGGGATGATGGTTGCACAACTTGATAAATTTACTAAAAATCATAGAATTACCATGTGTTAGGAGTGCACTTTGTGATATGCAAATTATACCTCAATAAAACTGTTAAAAAAATTAAATCTCCCAGTTTTCAAATGTTCTCAGCTAATTCAAGTTGTTAAAGGACCCATGTGAAAATAAAAATACTCAAGTCTGTGGTGCAAGCCCTCACGCTGCCTGCGTGCAACCTCAGTGCTAAGTAGCATGAACAGAAATTAGAATAAAATCAAATCCTTGTCCTCCAGGACTTTAAGATGCAAAGGGAGAAAATGGAACAATAAAAGAGTTATAAAACCCTATGGTATTTTCTGTTAATTATACTTCAATAAGAAGACACCCTATGATAGATATAAGTGGGGTGTGCAGGGAGATATGGATCTGAGAACTGGCTCTGGTTGGGTTGGGGTGGAGGCACCACAGAGGAGGTGACACTGGAGCTGGGCTTTGAAGCATGTGTAGAGATTCAGGAGATTTCCAAGTGTGGGAAGTGGAGAAAAGGGGTGGGTGACATTTTCAGGCAGAGGGAACAGAATGGGCAAAGACATGAAGGTGTGAAAAAGCAATTTCCTTTTTGAGAACTGGGAATCCTGGCAACATGGTGCACGTAGAGAATAGAAAGAGCAGGAAAGAAAGGCAGGGGCCAGATCATGAAGGGCTTGGCAACCCGTGTTAAAGTCTTTGGAAAAAGGATTAAGCAGGATTTAATTGTTGGAGGAACATGGGCATGCTTCTTTTGGCCTTAATTAAACTGTGTATATCTTGGCAGCATCATAGGGTACTCGCACTGTTCTAATAATCTGTATAGACTCACTTAATCCTATGAACAGTGGTTCTCAAACCCTAACCTGCCTCTGAATCACATGGAAGTCTTCTTAACTCAGAGAAACCAGTTTCTGATTTAGGAGGTTCTGAAGTGCAGCCTGAGAATTTGCTTTTCATTCCAGTTCCCAGAAGCTGATGCTGCTGGTCCAGGGAGCACACTTTGAGAAACACTACTGTACACCAACCTTATAAGACACTACCATTATCATCACCATGATTCCCATTTTACAGAGGAGGAAACAGAGGTTAAGCAGCGTGCCCAAGGCCCTATGGCTCCTAGTGATGGAGCTAGGATTCAGTGCCAGGCAATGTCTACCATGCCTCCCAGTTCATAGGTTGCTAACAAGCAGAGTTAACGGTTGGTATTTTCAATCCTTATTTGCAACTATCAAAAATATATTACATACACACATACACACACACACACGTGCACACACATGCACCTTCACTGACATCTGAGATAAAAGAGTTAGAGATGCAAACCGATGCCAAGGGGTGGTAAGGGAAAATCTTTGAGGAATTCTTTAGGCTATTCCAATCACGTAGTATTTTGGTCCTACTGGGATGAAGCCAGGATTTAGAAATACACAAGTATCAATGTACAAAATGACTAAATATATACAAGGAACTCATTACATAAAATGTCACAAGTCAAAACTGTACATGAATACTCAATATCTCTTGTTTTAAATATATTTAAATTTTTAAAATAAATCATGAAAACTAACAATATCTAGAGAAGATAACCTTGCCACACATGCTGCTTTTGGAGGGGGTCCCAAGATAAAAATGGCAATTCTTTCATGAATCTGCTTATTTTCACATCTTGATCTAATTTGTAGCATCTCCCTGGTTTCCTTCCAATAAACAACTTCTTCCTTAAATTGGGGGCATTATGTTATTTCTGAGACCTGAATCACAGAGACTGTAACACAAGCCTGCATGCTCCATCTTGTTTTGTAGAGTGCTGTGTATCTAATTAAAGCTTCCTGCCCGTCCATAAAAAGACCTACCATTAAAAAAGCAGTTTGTCTTGGAGGCAGCCCCAGGACAGACTGGAGAAGGGGTTTCTTCATCACTAATAAATATATTTGCTTAAATTAAAAGTTAAGTAATAATATATTAATTTGTACTGGAATATATTTTAGAATATTATTGCCTAAGCATAATCAGATCTTGTTACCACATTTATGGTGTGGAACCGAAAATGGGCCATGTTCTTGCCAGCAGCACTCCAGCTTCTCAAGCACTGGGGATGAATAAATGATTTACCATGTGGCCAGCGCTGCATCCATCTCTCTGGAAGAGACTTGGGGCTGACTTCATTTCAATCAACTTATTATTCTGTTCCTTTTCATTTATTGTTTTGCTATTCTTATGCCCTTGTTCCCTTACAGAATGTATTCAAAACCTGAGTTCCACAGCAGCAATACAAATACTCTGTCTTCCAAGGGCTTATCTATTACGGCCATTGTTCTGTGCTTACTGTTATCTCTCAGAGGCTACAGACCTGGTGGTGGGGGCCTTCAGACACTGGCATTCCCTTGGGAAACCATTAGAGTGGTATTTTTCCCCCTCTACTTGGCTACAGGCTTCCTTGAATAGCGATCTCTCCCTGAGAGGAAAAGTGCATGGCCTTCCAGCTTTCCAGCAACAAAGGAATGAATTCCACAAACCAAGTTAGGAACTCTTGCTTCATATGCTGCTAAAGTTAGAATGTCAATGTCAAAGTGAGATTATTCTTTTATGGTCTTTCTAAGTCAGAGAGATCCCAGAGTTGGGGGCCTTGACTTATCCCTGAGGGGCACAGCCTGAGGCCCACAGCCAATGATCCATCATCTTAGGCGAGGGCATTAGGTAACTGGGAGTCCCCCTTTAAAAGAAAACCTTATGTCTTTACCCTGAGGGTTTGCACCTCCCAACAATCCCCTCTTACTTCTCAATCAGTCATCTTCAGACATGCAAAGTTGATGCTGTGGAGAGAGTCTAAAGGAAAAATCTTGTGACATTTGCTGGTCAACAGAGACATTTGCTAAAACCATCTAGGTTTCTCTTCTGCGTCCAGGTTAATCCAACTTGGAGCATCTAAGCAGATTTTCTCTTTTCTTTTCTTTTTTTCTTTTTTCCTTTTTTTGGCTTGTGTCCTTTGCTAAGGGCCCTTTCTTAGGGGAGGAGTGGGAAGAAGAAAGGGAAAAACAGGCTGGGGGAGCCTGGCATCAGGCAAGTAGCTCCTGGGACTGCTGAACTCCACTGAGCACTAAGGTGAGAGGTGGCATCCCCTTTGCCCCCCTCTCGGGCCAGCGCTAAGCTCCATTCCGGAGCTGAGCCACCCAGTGCCACGGTTAATGCCTGGCGTGGTTTGAGTCCCTGATTTCATGTGCTTTAATACTTTCCACGACCTTTTGCCTTTCCATGCTGTATTCCAGAAGAGGCAGCCTGGCCAGGCCAGTGTCTCCTGCTGACCTTTAAAGCCAGCCCTGTATTCAGATGCTGGGCTTTTTTTCTCGTTTTGTTTAAACAGCAACAAAATCAAAACTACTTCAAACTGGATTCCCAGAGAGGAGAAGCTGTAGAGAGAAAAAAAAAGAAAAACCACGTATGTATGTATACATATATATGAATGTATATTTGTTTTCTCTCCTTGATTAAACCTGGACGGGGAGGTGGCGGGTGAACCTTTAAAAGGGTAAAGTGTATGCGGCCCTCAGCCTCCCACCCCAGGACGCAGTCCTGTGCGGATGCGGTCTCTGCCCTCCGATTTCCCCAGGCAGCTCGCGCTACTTTTCTAGGCCATGGTCCCGTGTCCCTGGTGCTTCCTCCTTCGCCGGCGCCTCGCTCGCCTCCCACCGCCAGCCGCAGCCTAGACTTGCAGGGGTCGGGAGGTTGCCAGGATGCCCTCCAGCAGCCCGCGCGCCAGGGCTCGCAGGTGCGCCCCGCCCCGCCCCTCCCGCGGCCCCGCCCCGGCGCTCGCGTCACAGTGACGCGCGGACCGCGCAGGCGCAGCTCGGCCCCACCCCTCCCCGCGCCCGGCCGCCCGCCCGCTCGGTATTATGATTAGCGCTGGGTGCGGGGATTCGGCGGCCGGGAGGGAGTCGTCGGAGCCGCAGCGGCCGCGGACGGACGCCCGCCTGCGGGCTGAGGTAGGGGGCAGCGCAGATCGCGGCCGGGTGCAGCGGCCGTGGGCGAGGGTGCAGGGCCGGCCTCCGCCGCCTAGTAGCCTCCGCCGTTGCGGGGCTGGGCGCCCGGCTGGGGCACCCGCCGCAGGCGGAAAGTAAGTTGCGCGCTCCGCGCTCCCCGCGCGGATGCGGGGCCCGGGCTGCGGCGGCCCCGATCCGGTGCGGCGGCGGCGAGGCCTGGCGGCGGGGTGATGG